ACGAATCATTATTGGAATCAATTAAAGCAGAAGAATCAGTGTCAGTCTTGCATGTTATTAATTTCAATCAGTCTAAAATACTAAATGAATCATTATTTGAACCACAAAGATATTTAACTACCTATTCAGGTTATTGAACGACTCCTTTAACTCATTCTTATTTTTTTAAGTGGTCAAATGATTTATAAAGAATCATTATTGTAATCAATTAGGAAAGCAGAAGAATCAGTGTCAATCTTGCATGTTATCGGTTTCAATTGGTCTAAAATACTAAACGAATCAATATTTGAACCACAAAGATACCAAACTACCTATTCTGGTTTTTGAACGATTCTTTTTGATTAATTATTTTTTTCTGAAGTGGTCAAATGACTCATAAAGAATCATTATTGTAATCAATTAAGAAAGCAGAAGAATCAGTTTTAATCAGTCTAAAATACTAAACGAATCATTATTTGAACCACAAAGATACTGGGCTACCTATTTAGGTTTCTGAACGACTCCTGAGTGATTATTTTTTTTAATAAGTCAAATGACTCATAAAGAATCATTATTGTAATCAACTAAGAAAGCAGAAGAATCTGTCAATCTGGCTTGTTATCAGTTTAAATCAGTCTAAAATATTTGAACCACAAAGATACTGGGCTACCTATTTAGGTTTCTGAACGACTCCTGAGTGATTCTTTTTTAATTGGTCAAATGACTCATAAAGAATCATTATTGTAATCAATTAAGAAAGCAGATGAATCAGTGTCAATCTTGCATGCTATCAGTTTCAATTAATCTAAAATACTAAAAGAATAATTATTAATCCCTTTAAGCAGAGGAATCGCTGTCAATCTCTCATGTTATTGGTGTGAATTGGTCTAAAATACTCAACGAACCATTATTGGAATCAATTAAAGCAGAAGAATCAGTGTCAGTCTTGCATGTTATTAATTTCAATCAGTCTAAAATACTAAATGAATCATTATTTGAACCACAAAGATATTTAACTACCTATTCAGGTTTTTGAATGACTCCTTTAACTCATTCTTATTTTTTTGGTCAAATGATTTATAAAGAATCATTATTGTAATCAATTAAGAAAGCAGAAGAATCAGTGTCAATCTTGCATGTTATCGGTTTCAATTGGTCTAAAATACTAAACGAATCAATATTTGAACCACAAAGATACCAAACTACCTATTCTGGTTTTTGAACGATTCTTTTTGAGTAATTATTTTTTTCTGAAGTGGTCAAATGACTCATAAAGAATCATTATTGTAATCAATTAAAAAAGCAGAAGAATCAGTGTCAATCTTGCATGTTTTCAGTTTCAGTTAGACTAAAATACTAAAAGAATCATTATTGGAATCAATTAAGAAAGCAAAAGAATCAGTGTCAGTCTTGCTTTAAGTTTGAATCTGTCAAACAAATTAATAGAACCATTATTTGAAAATGAACAAAGCAGAATCGAGACCTGAACAAAAAAGTCAGAAAGCAGAAGTTTCAGTCAGTCTGCAATCTGAATCCCCCTGAAGTACTAAACGAACCAATTAAGCAATCAGAATTGAAAACAGAACAAAAATATAGCACATATTGAACTGTTTGAGCCAAACGACTCTTTTGAGCAGTTCCCTTTAAATAAAATCCTCAAAAGCCTCAGAAGTTTTCAAATCAATATCAGCTGTCTGAATCACTCTAAAGTACTAACAGAATCAGTATTAGAACCAATTAAGCAACCAGAATAAGAATTGGAACAACAAAATACAGCACAACCTGAACTCTTTGAATCAAATGACTCATTTGAACAGTTCTTTTTAAACAAATTCACCTTTTATAACCAGAGAATGTAAAAATTATTTTAATGTAATGTAATGTGTATTTATATAGCACTTTTATCTTGTACAGCCATACACACAAAGAGCTTCACAATCATGAGAGGGGTCTCTCCACACCACCACCAGTGTGCTGCATCCACTTGGATGATGTGATGGCAGCCACAGGACAACAGCGCCAGTGCGCTCACCACACAACAGCTATTGTTAGAGTGAAAAGACAGTGATAAAGGTCAATTTGGTGGATGTGGATGATTGTGAGGCCATGATGGGAAAGGGCCGATGGAGAGAATTTGGCCAGGACACCTGGGTTACACCCCTGCTCTTTACGAGAAGTGCCATGGGATTTTTAATGACCACAGAGAGTCAGGACCACGGTTTAACGTCTCATCTAAAAGACGGCACCAACTGACAGTATATTGTCCCCTTCACTATACTTGGGCATTAGGACTCACACAGACCGCAGGTTGAGCGCCCCCTGCTGGCCTTAGTAACACTGCTTCCAACAGCAACCTAGTTTTCCCATGTGGTCTCCCATCCAGGTACTGACCAGGCTCAGCTCAGTCTTAGGCTGCAGGGTGATATGGCTGCGTATTGAGGAATGATTAGCTAAAGCTAAATCTCCTCAGAGTTGAGTTTTCCCCGTTTCCACATGAAGTCATGGCAAAATCTGGGCACCAGAAACCACATGGTATAAACATGCATTCCCAATGGCAGCCACCGACTCTGCCAGAGGACGTGCTCTTTTGCGCCTCTGTTTACAATGTGGCACAATGTTTTCATGTAATATGAAAGACCCTGATATATTTATTCAGGAAACAGCCAATCAGACGGCTGATTGTCAATAGCCTTGAAAAACAGTTTCAGATTCAGATCATCTGAGGTGACTGGGGTGGGTTCTGCTCCCAAAGTCAACAAACATTTCACTGACTTTAATTCAGCGTGTGTATCGCAAACATCATGCAGTGAAACACGATCTGTTTGTGTTTAACGCCGGCTAAATGAACGTGTTGGAAAGCGCTTGTTTTGTTCTGTAACAGTTGCTCACCTTCCTGATCTCAAACAAAGATCCGGTTTCTGGACCGATGCAAATCAGCCCATCTGTGATGCTGGACGACGGCCTGACCGAACACACACTCTCCATACTTTAACTCTTACCTTAATTTCAAGTGGAAAATTAATGTAAAGTCTGATTTTAGGATTGCATGTATTGATGTTAATGTATTGTATAAAGGTCAATAACATTTCTTTCTACTCAAAAAAATAAAAATAAATCATCATAGAATGTGAACGATTGACAATGGTGAGAATAATAAATGTTTTCATTTGATGGGACTGAAAGTCAGGATTATTCCAGCAGATATTGCTTTCTTAACACTGAAGTTAAAATATTGGTTTTGTGGAAAAAATAATAGATGGCTACATTTTTTGCATGTTACATTTGAAAGAAATAACATAAACAAAGAGGGTTATTATATTTAAACTATTGGTTTAATTGTTACAATAAAATTAACAATCAAAACTAATTATTATTATTATTAGGTACACCTGTCCAGCTGCTATTTTAACGCAAATTTGTAATCAGCCAATCACATGGCAGCAACTCAATGCATTCAGGCATGTAGACATGGTCAAGACGATCTGCTCCAGTTCAAACAGAGTATCGGAATGGGGAAGATTTTAATGACTTTGAATGTGGCATGGTTGTTGGTGCCAGACGGGCTGATCTGAGTATTTCAGAAACTGCTGATTTACTAGGATCTTCACGTACAACCATCTCTAGGGTTTACAGAGAATGGCCTGAAAAAGAGAAAATATCCAGTGAGCGGCAGTTCTTTGGGCGCAAATGCCTTGTTGATGCCAGAGGTCAGAGGAGAATGGCCACACTGGTTCCAGCTGATAGAAATGCAACAGTAACTCAAATAAGCCCTCCTTTCAACTGAGGTCTGCAGAAGAGCATCTCTGAACACACAACACGTCCAACCATAAGGCAGATGGACTACAGCAGCAGAAATGTTGGAAATGAAGAATGAAGAAATGTTGAGTCTCAATTTCTGCTGCCACAGCATGGTCGGGTCAGGATTTTGTTGTCAACAACATGAAAGCATGGCTCCATCCTGCCTTGTATCAACGGTTCCAGCTGGTGGTGGTGGTGTAATGGTGTGGGGGATTTTTTCTTGGCACACTTTGGGTCCATTAGTACCAACTGAGCAACGCCACAGCCTACCTGAGTATTGTTGCTGACCATGTCCATCCCTTTATGACCACAATGTACTCATCTTCTGATGGCTACTTCCAGCAGGATAACGCACCATGTCATAAAGTGCAAATCATCTCAGACTGGTTTCTTGAACATGACAATGAGTTCACTGTACTCAAACGGCCTCCACAGTCAGCAGATCTCAATCCAATAGAGTACATTTTGGATATGGTGGAACGGGAGATTCGAACCGTTGGATGTGTAGCCGACAAATCTGCAGCAGTGCGGTATCAAGCATTGCATTAAAAATACACGCTTCCAGCAGTTCCTCGAATCAAATATCTCGTTTGTCACAAGGGCATGATTAAAATTCCTGAATGAAAGAGCCAAACTGCAGTTTAAGTCCAAAATTTAATAAACTGGCAAAAAATTGGATTACTGATGTCCATGTAAACGCAATCACTGTCTTTCTCCCCTGCGTCTGTGTGTTTGTTTTGCCTCTGTGAACACCAGTGAGTGCCCAAACCGTAACTCCCATTTTAATGCAAATTTTTATGAACCTTCCCTTTTTCCCCTCCTCCGACACTCCCCCTAAACAGAATGGGACACGCCCACTTTTCTGACTTTTTCTAAACTATAGGTGTGAAAACACCCAGCTGAAACAGGGTATTCATGGCCCTTTAACAAATATAATAAAAACACGTTTTGCTAATTAAATTAAATTGTAGCTTCACATTGTTTAGCTACACAAAAATATTGCTCATTTTGATCTTCAGTGATGTGTTCTTTATTAGTGCAAACTGTAATTTCTCACGATGCTTTTAGTAGAAACAACAGCCTTTATTTAAAACAGAACTTTTGTGTAACATCAATAAATGTCCAAACTCACTATTTAATTTATTATGTCAGAGACAGGAACATTACGTACAACTAACTGCAATAAAGCATCAGCTAATCTAATCGGCTGTTAATGAACTTACCTTATGATTCGTTGGGCGGCGTACTGGTGGAGGTTTCGAAACTGTGCCGACATGTTGGCAAGCGCAGCCAGGCAGTTGGTGTGGAGGTATTTATCCTGAAGGAGAGGAAATCAATAAAAGCAGCCATTAATAATTTGTGCTGTTTCTTCTCGCGGGGCAAAACACAATAAAATGAGTCTATTATGCTTTGAATATAAAAACATGCTCTGTTCACTGGACTCACAGGTCTGATCTCAATTATTAGCCTCCTGTATATTTTTCCCCAATTTCTGTTTAACAGAGAGAAGATTTCTCCAAGACATTTCTAAACATAATAGTTTTAATAACTCATTTCTAATAACTGATTTATTTTATCTTTGCCATGATGACAGTAAATAGTATTTTACTAGATATTCTTCAAGACACTAGTATTCAGTAGGGATGCTACGGTTCTCAATATAATATTGAACCGTTCGGTACGACCTCCACCGTTTAAGACGCGCTTGTGAATATCGGTTTTCTCAATTTTGCATTTAGATAATTTATGTGCGTTTTATACCTCCCCAAATTGACTGTGTGTGCCTGTAAGTCCATGAGCTGAGATGAGGAAACTCCTCCCGGCGAGTAAATATCCAATCACTATGCTCTAAAGTTAGGGGGAGTTTGACCATCATTCCACACTTTAACATGGCGAGCGGCGGTGAAGTGAGGCAACAGTACAAAAAAAACGCCGGCGTCTTTCAAATCTGCGGTGTGAGGACATTTTGGTTTTGCAGGTAAGTATAATGCCACTAAAAGAAAAAACGGTAAACGGAAAATAACTGTGCGAGCATTGTTTTACACGTATAACCATGACTGCACATCTGCAGTGCCATCACCCAGCAATAGCACTGTCTGAAGGCAGGAGAGCAGAGAAGGTAATAAAGTCCTCCAAATAGCAACAATCCCTCGCTGAATCTTTCAAGCAAACATACAAACTGGTTCCGAGAGATATATAAAAATAGTAAAGGCAGTGCGGGTGTTTATTGCTAAAGATTTGCAGCTGTTTTCAGTGATTGGAGATGTGGGCTTTTGTCATTTTACAAAAGCACTCGACCCGCGTTACAGACTACAGTCTCGCATTTATCCAGCACTGAGATAATTAAGATGGTTTATTTATGTTTACTTGAGTACAAATATGTTTATTTGAAATGGCCAATTTATCTTTATTAACTTCACATGTATGTTTATTTTCAAAGTGTAGGATTTGATGAGTTCCCCAGTTTGTCCATGGGCTACCAGCAGCTGTGAGATTTCATTATTCATTTTTTTTGTATACAATACACTAGGAACTAGAGTACTTTTCTTGGCTTTTAAATAAAACAAAATGAGTATTTCACTACATCGATTTTATTTTTTTCTCCTTAACCTCTTACTGCTCCTATTGCCTATAGAATAAAAAAATAAACAAAAAACACGTGTCAAGCCATAAGAACCGAACCGAAATCAGAGTTAAAAAACCGAGGTATGTATTGAACCTTGAGCTAACTGTATTGTTGCATAATATTTAGCTTAAAGTCACATTTAAAGGCTTAACTAGGTTAATTAAGGTAATTAGGCAAGTTATTGTATAACAGTGGTTTGTTCTGTAGACAACTGAAAACAAAATATTGCTTAAGGGGGCTAATAATATTGACCTTAAAATGGTTTGAAATAAATGCTTTTATTCTAGCCGAAACAAAACGAATAAGCCTTTCTCCAGAAGAAAAAATATTACAGGAAATACTGTGAAAATTTCCTTGCTCTGTTAAACATCATTTGGGAAATATTTGAAAAAGAAAACAAGTTCACAGGAGGGCAAATAATTCTGACTTCAACTGTATATAAGATGTAGAGTAATAAATGTACATGGCCAAAGTTGTGGATGTTTCAAACTGTATTTGTCTCTGTGGTTCTGGACTCACCCTTGTGCGGGTCATGTTGAATTGGATGGTTCGGATGACGACCAGGATTAGCAGACTTCCTAGGGAGATCTCTGTTAGGACACGTTCGGTGTACCACGAGATGTTCTTCAACAGCTGAGAGAGAATTAATAATACATAGGAATCAATACATTAGCTTATCATCACACAGCTTTAAAACAACAGATTTGATGTGCTTGAGCTCAACCACTCTCACTGGCAAAGCTAAACAAAAGAATAATAAAAACATATTAATAAATAGTAATAAAACAAAATGTTATTGGCAATGTTATTTTCGGGGAAGCAGTGGCGCAGTAGGTTGTGCTATCACCTCACAGCAAGAAGGTCGGTGTGTCGCTGGTTCGAGCCTTGGCTCAGTTGGCGTTTCTGTAAGGAGTTTGCATGAATGAATGTTATTTTCAAAAAGGGGAGGAGCTACGTTATGTCCCGCCCTCTCTTCATGTTTTAGTTGAGATCATGTCAAACACGTTTGGGTTTGGTTCACTGAATCACGCATGTGCAGCATTATCGGTTCACCGCTTCTCAAATTTGATCTCAGTGTAATGCTACTGTTCTAATAACTGAATGAGAGTATATACTAGATTATTTCAAGTCCGAGGTGGGTAATAGGCTTGTTAAAAAGTAAGTAGTTTGTGAAAAAGTGTTTACCGGAGAAGTGAATCGTTTCAAATGATTCAATTCGTTTTGGTGAACTAGTTCAACCGGTTCACTTAGAAGATCCAGGTTAAAAGGATTCGTTTGCGATCGCGATACAGAAATAAAACCCATTATTGGGCACAAACATGTTAAAGTAATAGTTTAAAGTGTCTGTATTTAATGCTGTCACCGTGCTGCTGTCGTGTCCACATGTTGTTTTTGTCACGGGAGCAACAGCGAGGATGATTGGAGGAGAACCGGCTCGATCTGGCCAACGGCAGCAGGATTACAGACTCCGAGGTGCCGCACAGGTCAAACACCTGCAGCGCGGATTATATTTACTTCTAAAAGGCTTACAGTAAGATTATGTATAAAATACATTCACAGATACGAAAACGGAGGAGGTTTTGGCTATAATTCTAGTTAGTTTCAGTTAGTTTTGTATGTACACAATACAGTTTCAGTTAGTTCTATTTTTATAAAAAAAACTCTTTTTATTCTTATATCAGTTAACAACACTTATTTTACATTTTAGTTTTCACTTTCTCATTCGTAGATCTGCACGATTCTGCCTAAAATGAGAATCGCAATTTTTTTTGCTCAAAATAAAGATCACGATTTTCTTACGATTCTGTATATGTAGAGTAAAGGCATGGTAAAAACAAGCATATGGCACAACCTCGATAATAATATTATGTGTATATCTACTGGTTTCTATAAATAATTCTATTCTACTTATAATAATTCTGATGTTGAATTATTATGTTTGAGATATATGCTTAAAATCTGTCATATTAGACAATTTTATTCACTGGTAAAATCAGACATTTGCCATTATCAGATTATATTCAACAATATATAGGCTAGAATACTTATACTAACATTGTAAACATTTATTTTCATGCACAACTGTGGGTTCGCGATGAAAGAAAAAACATATCAAATGCTTGTCGTAATCATAGCTCTAAAATGCGATACGATCATTTAAATGAAGTGCACACTTTCGGTTTCATTTTGACTGCTAAGTGCTTGTTCATACTTCGCACGCGGCTCCCAAACGATCACTCTGTGCCACAAACTGAATATTATTTACAACTGTATTACCTGTTACTCGCAACATATGCAGGTTCTGTTCACTAAAGTAGACGCACGCGTTTATCATTAATTAGAGCGCACACACGTGCCCTCTCTGTGATAACAGCTCACGGTCAGCAGCTCACGTCACGTGTGATTTCCCGATCGCGAAAACATCATTATATTAAGAAAAAAATTACATTTTAAGGTGAATTATATCTTGTAAATACAGTATGTGACTCATTCAACATCATTTGGAGGTGTCAATGTCACTGAGCAACTTGTGTGAAACAATGAAAAGACTCGTGCAGCCGCCTTTTCTTCTCTCCTGAACTTGAAAATATGATTGACAGAATCGTAGAAATGCTGGATTAAGATCGTCTAGGGGGTCGAATCAAGATCACGATCTTTTAACGATTAATTGTGCAGCTCTACTCATTCGTTTTCATTAACTATAATAACCTTGCTTGGTAGCAAGTGTCTGCGGTGCTGAGAGCTGTGAGCCCGATGGAGCGAGTGTTTACAAGTGTGGACTTCCGTGAAGGAGCTCCAGGCAGAAACGTTTGTTTTGTGTTTACCTTATGATTAAAGTTGTTGCACGTCCGCCAGTTCCTCTCTTAGAATGAGCGAGTTTGAGCTAATTGTACATTAAGGTAGCGTTCAGAAAAAACAAAACACCAGCAAAGAAACCCGACACAGAGGAACAAAGAAACCTACTGCCAGCTAGCGTTTCAGAAGTGTTATTGCAGAGCAACACAAACAGCATGCAGAAGTGTAAATGCAGAACTACGTGCAAGGCAGGTGCCGGGGATCACGGCGATGACTTGACGCAGAAGAATAAACCAGCCTTTAATGTGACGGTGTGTGTAATGGTGTGTGTCCTCACCACTTCATGTATGGAGCGGTTGAAGGTGTCATCCTCTGTGAGGATGAGGAGGATGATGAGGGCCATGTACACATGATGAGAGTTTCTCTCCTCAACGTGATACAAGATCTCAAGAATCGGCAACACCTACAGAGACAAGAACAAAGAAAACATTTAATAGTGTCGTAAAAACAAAAAACATCACAGCAAGAAGGTCGCTGGTTCGAATCCCGACTAGGTCAGTGGGCATTTCTGTGTGGAGTTTGCATGCTCTACCCGTGTATGGCGTGGGAGTCCAAAGACAAGCGGTACAGGTGAACTGAAAAAACTAAATTGGCCGTAGTGTATGTGTGTGAATGTGAGAGTGTATGGGTGTTTCCCAGTACTGGGTTGCTGCTGGAAGGGCATCCGCTGTGTAAAACGTATGCTGAATAAGTTGGTGGTTCATTCCGCTGTGGTGACCCCTGATGAATAAAGGGACTAAAGCAAAGGAAATTGAATGAATGAATGAATGAATGAATGAATGAATGATTGAATGAATGAAGCAGGGTAATGCCTAAGAGTATGTGCTGAATGTGCTCACCAGGTTCTCCATGTCCGTGCGGGACAGTATGTACGTCCTCATGTTGCTGTTTTGGTGCAGAAGCGTGTAGAGGAGTAACGTCACCTGGTCTGATTTCTGCTGCTCGCACAGAGCCGTGTACAAACTGTTGAAGTTGATCTGAAACGTGTGAGGCTGAGGAGACGGCATGGATGAAGAATCTGAAACACACACACAGGAAAGATTCATTAGCCAGATTATTTTGCTTGTTTTAGAGAAAAACTCATTGAATTTTGGCAATTTATTTCTTAAAACAAAATAAACATTTTGCTTGTCTAGAAAATGCTTTATGGTATAAGAATTTATAGATATTTGGACTAAAAACAAGACAAAAAACAAGTAGGAAATGCATTTTTGCAGTCAAATTAAAGGGACAGTTCACCCAAAAATGAAAATAGTCTCACTATTTACTCTCCCTCAAGTGGTTACATACCTTTATTAGTTTCTTTCTCCTGTTGCCTGGCTCAAAAGAAGATATTTTGGAGAAAGCTGAAAACTGTTAACTTATAACTTTAATAGCAGGACTAATAATTACTATGGAAGTCAATAGTTACAGGTTTCCAACAGAAGGAAGAAAGTCTAATAGGTTTGGAGCAAGTAAAGAATGAGTAAATGATGACAGAATTTGAATTTTTACATTTAATTCAATATATTAAACAAAAATACCCATATATTGGCGGATTATTTTATTTTTTATAAAGAAAAAGTCAGTAAATCTTGACATTTTATTTTCTAAAACAAAAGCAATATCTTTTGCTTGTTTCCAAATTGCTTTTTGTTTTAATTTTTGTTCAAAAACCAAGTGAGAAAAGCAATTGTGCAGTGAAATTAAAGAGATAGTTCATCCAAAAATGAAAAATGACTCACTATTTACTCTCCCTCAAGTGGTTATAAACCTTTATTAGTTTCTTTCTCCTGTTGAACAGTGCAAATGAAGATATTTTGAAGAAAGCTTTAAACCATTGACGTCAATAGTATGAATAACATATACCATTGAAGTCAATGGTTATACGTTTCCAACATTCTTCAAAATATCTTCTTTTGTGTTTAACAGAAGAAAGAAGCTCTACCAAGTTTGGAACAAGTAAAGAGAGTGTAAATGATGACAGAATTTAAAATTTTACACTTAATACAATATAGTTAACAAAAAATGGCCCATGCATTGGCGGATTATATTGAAAAACTCACCTATTTCTTACTTATTTTATTACTTATTATTTACTTATTTTGCTTGTCTAGAAAATGCTTTATGATATAAGAATTTGTAGATATTTGGACTAGAAACAAGACAAAAAAATGTCAGAAATGCATTTTTACAGATCACCCAAAAATGAAAATAGACTCACTATTTACTCTCCCTCAAGTGGTTACAAACCTTTATTAGTTTCTTTCTCTTGTTAAATGGCTCAAAGAAGATATTTTGGAGAAAGCTGAAAACTGGTAACTTCTATAGTAAGAAAGAAAAAATACTATGGAAGTCAATTGTTACAGGTTTCCTGCATAGGTTTGGGACAAGTAAAGGGTGAGTGAATGATGACAGAAATTTAGTTTTAACATTTTATTCAATATATTTAACAAAAAATGTCCCATGCATTGGCGGATTATTTTGCTTGTTTACAAGAAAAATTCTATGAATTTTGACACAATTTCTTAAATCAAAACAATGTCTTTTGCTTTTTTATTTAAGAATTTCTAGATATTTGAACAAGAAACGAGACAAAAACCAAGTAAGAAAAGCATTTGTGTAGTGAAATTAAAGGGATAATTCAACCAAAAATGAAAATTGACTCTTTATTTATTTATGAGTTTCTTTCTCCTGTTAAACAGCGCAAAAGAAAATACTTTAAAGAATGCTGAAATCTGGTAACCTTGATAGTAAGAAAAAAAAACAGTCAATGGTTACAGGTTTCCAACATTCTTCAAAATGTCTTCTTTTGTGTTTAACAGAAGAAAGAAACTTTAATAGGTGTGAAAAAAGTAAAAGGTCAGTAAGTGATGACAAAATTCAAAGTTTTACATTTGATTCAATATATTTAACAGAAATGACACATGCATTGGCAGATTAATTTATTTGTTAAAGAAAACCTCACTAAATTATGACATAATTCCTTAAACAAAACAATATCTTTTGCTTGTCCAAAAAAAAATTGCTTTTTGATTTAAGATTTGAGACTTTTTGATTTTAGACATTTGGACAACAAACGAGACAAAAACCAAGTAAGATTTATTTGCAGTGACAAGCATTTTTGCAGTGAAATTAAAGGGATAGTTCACCCAAAAATGAAACGGACTCACTACTTATTTATTTATTAGTTATTTTTCTCCTCCTTTCTCAAATGAAGGTATTTCAAAGAAAGCTGAAAACTGGTAACTTCCATAGTAGGAATAACAAATACTATGGTGGTCAATGGTTACAGGTTTCCAGCATTTTTTTTAAATATCTTCTTTTGTGTTTAACAGAAGAAAGAAACTCTAATAAGTTTGGAACAAGTGTAGGGAGAGTAAATGATGACAGAATTTTCACGTTTACCTTTAAATTCAATATATTTAACACAATTTGACACTGTGGTCTACCTTGAGTGTTTTTGAAGCAGGTCACAGCCTGGCGATAAGGGTTGGGGCAGTCGGGGCCATCCGTCTGATTGGCAAGAACCAGCAGTAATAGCAGGCTCTGACTGGACAGCGGGAGAGGGTTCTGCTCTTGCTCCGCCCCCGGCCTGCTGCCGGCTCCGCCCAATGTGAACACGCTCCATAAACCACCTGATTGACACAGAAAGCGCTCTTAACATGAGAACGAGTTTAATGCATGGTGACAAATGAAAAGGTCACGTCATGCTTCCCGGACATTTATGAGCACATTGTCTTTTAACATCATCATGACATTAATTCCTGCACCATTTGAGAGGCAAATGTGAATGACACCTCAAATCATGAGATTTCATTCATTCTGACAGACTATAATAAGGGCAAAAAAAATGTGAAAATGACTCTTAATTAATAACCTTAAAACTGATATGACATCACTTTTAATTCATACAACTATAATAGCAAATTATTACTGTTTATCGTTATTTTAATTAGTACTATTAATAATTTATATGCTAATAGCTCTTATTTTAGTCATTTATTTTTTCTAGTAATTTTCTACAAATATTTCTAGTAAGCTTTAATATATTTTAAGCTTTTGAAACTAAACTTTGTATTTTAAATCATGTTTACATTTGCATTTATTTTGTATTTTATTTCAATTAATAAAAATAATGGGAAAATGGACCTTAATTTGCTTGTTTAAATGTATTGGAAAAAAGAAAAAGGACCAACAGAATATAAGTATATATATATATATATTTAATATTCAGTTGTCATGTTAATTTATGCAATTAATAGTTTTCACTTTAGTTTTTCTAGTAATTTTCCAAAAATATTTTAGATAGCTTGGTGACACACTTAAAAGACTTCGCTTCAGGCCAGAAGCTGAACAACTGAAGCAGAAGATCATTCATACAACCTTCACAACAAAGAACCGGACATGCTAATGGCTCAAACCATACAGCTTTACATCTATTCTGTTATTTTTTGTCTGTTTGACCATGTAAAGGTCTCTCTGAAATGAAATACATCACTATGCCAGGAGAAATCAAATAAGCAGACTTTTAATAGTTGAAGATTCAAATCACAAACTGTAGGTGAAACTGTATCAAGAAAAACGGGTGCTACATACCAAAATGAAAAGAAAAACTAGTGGATGGATGGATGGATGGATGGATGGATGGATGGATGGATGGATGGATGGATGGATGGATGGATGGATGGATGGATGGATGGATGGATGGATGGATGGATGCAGACAGACAGACAGACAGACAGACAGACAGACAGACAGACAGACAGACAGACAGACAGACAGACAGACAGACAGACAGACAGACAGACAGATAGATAGATAGATAGATAGATAGATAGATAGATAGATAGATAGATAGATAGATAGATAGATAGACTGACAGACAGAACAACAGAATAATAGAAAGAACTATGGATGGATGGATGGATGGATGGATGGATGGATGGATGGATGGATGGATGGATGGATGGATGGATGGAAGGAATGAAGTGTAAATGAACGAAATAGCATGATAAAACTAAAGAGAGATAGTTCGAAAGATAGAATGAAAGATAAAATGACAGATAGAACACTAGACAGAACAATAAACAGAACAATAGAATGATAGATAGAATGATAAAACAGACAGAACGATAGAACAAAAGATAAAACAAAAGAACGAAAGATGGAAAAATAGAATGAAAGACAGAACAATAGATAGAAAGAAAGAAAAAGAAAGAAAGAACAGATAGAATGATACATGGAACAATAGATAGAACAATAGAACAAAGATACAACAATAGATAGAATGAAAGATAGAACAATAGATAGAAAAAAGAAAAAACGAAGAAAGAAAGAATGACAAAGAAAGAAAGAAAGAAACAAGAACGATAGAACAAAGATACAACAATAGATAGAATGATGGCTAGAACGATAGAACAAAGATAGAATGATAGGTAGAACGACAGATAGAACAATAGATAAAAAAATCTCAGATAGAATGATAGATAGAATAATAGACAGAACAATAGATAAAATGACAAATAGAGTAATAGATAGAACACTAGATGGAACGATACATGAGCTCCTTTCATGCAGTAATATTGGTAAATATCTGGAAAATTTATAAACGACTTTACCGGTAAATTAAAAAAAGCGCTGTTCACACAGGCGAGGACGTTACAGAGTTTTTCCAGAAAAGATCGTTCCCACATCCATTTCAAAATACCGGTAAATTCTGACATCATTAACCAGAAATGAGCTCTAAACGGCTGCGCTTGTATTTGTAAACATTTGACTACATTACAAACTCTGTAGATGAATCAGTATTGTGAACAACTTTAATTAAAACATATAGAGGAACACTTTCACATGTCGAGATGTTCGTAATATGTGTGTGCTGGCGCTCACCACCTGCTGCACGTGCACACACGTCAAGCAACTGAAGCAGAGCTTGAAGGTAAACAAACAACAGCATATCATAAGCATCTTATCGATAATTATTTACACAGTTGGCATTAAGAAGGAGAATAAAAATGTTATCTGATTTACAACTAGCAGCTAACTTTGCAGAAAGGTCTGATTGTGTGAAAGGGGCTATGGAATAATAGATACAACATTAGAGTGGATGGATAGCTATCTGTGAAATGCTTTTTTCATAGTATTTTCTAACAGAAATTTCTAATAGAGAAAGTTTTTTTTTAATTTGAGTGGAATAAAGAAACTGCCAGTGCCATGGTAATAATTATTCCCCCCCCCCATGATTTTTTTTTATTGGCTACAGAACAAACCACTGATGTCCAGTAATTTGTCTAATTCCCCCAACTTGCCTAATGAACCTACTTAAGTCTTCAAATTACACTTTAAACTAAATACCAGTCTTGCAAAATAAATAGTAATATATTATATATATTATATTATAGTAATATATTAATATATTCCTGTCATCAAGGCAAAGGAAATTAGTTATTAAAACTATTATGTTTAAAAATGTCTTGAATAAAATCCTCTTTCCATTAAACAGCACTTGATAAATATTTGAAAAAGAACTCAAATATCACAGGAGGGCTAATATTTTAGACTGTATATCATGCAGAGTAAAACCAGCATCACATAATAGAACATAAATAGTACATTTGGACATCACGCTGACATTAACATCGCTGAAAACAAGAGAAATTGGAAGCTTTCAGCACACAAACAGCAGGTTGTGGATGAATAGTAATGGATTTGAAGCAGATTTTAAACTGCTAATCGTTCAGGCATCGTATCAGGTGGGTGGGAAAGAGAGAATTGAGATGGAAATGAGATGCTTGTCTCCAAGTCTAATCACTAGTGGCTGGACATCGCGGCCCCATGAGCAGACTGAAGAGCTCTAATCTAAAGCCAGGATGTCAACAAACATCCACCGCAAATACAAACAACAACAACACTGGCAGAAAGAGTCGCAGAGTAGTGAAAATGACCGGAGCCTGAGAATCAAATCACTAAAACACTGATTACAATGAATTAAACACTCTTTTTGGAAATGGGCTTATTTTACATCTCTCGTAGAGTTAAATCATTGAGTTTTCATTCGATTTTTTAATCTATTCAGTCGATCTCTGGGTGGGAGCACTTTTAGCTTAGCATAAATCATTGAATTGGATTAGAAAATTAGCATCTCACAAAAACTGTTTTAATTATTTTCCCATTTAAAGCTAGATGCTGTGTTCACACCAGACCCACGTGAACATTTGAGTTTACTCGCTTCATTTGCGCGTCTACCCCCGTTTCATTCGCCCGTCAAATCCGCTTCATTCGCGCGTCAAATTCACTTCAAAACAGACACGGATTCGCGTGATGGGCAGGGCTTCTTTCTGCCCGGTGACTCTAGCTTCATAGCTAAATGGCTAACATGGATTTTATTAAGAAAATAACAGCATTATTCTTTATGGAGACTGAAAAACAGCGTAGATACGTTTAGGGTCCTGTATGAGTCCACTGCGTCCTTTCAGAGGTGCATCCAGCTCTTCGAGCTCATAAACTCCTCCAGAAACTGAACATGGATGACGGCGACTTTTAACGGTGCCTCTGACTGAGCCAAGCCCAGTTTGATGACTTGTTGTCGGTGTCGCCTGGAGGATTTGCACCGGGACACCATCAACAGGTTCTACGTCACAATCACGCCCCCACAAGAGCAAGCTTCTGATTGGTTAACGCAGCGCGAATGTCCGCTGAAGTTCAGATTTTCGAATTCGAGAGATTCGCGCGAAGCGCTCGTTAAGTTCGTCGAACGCGGAAACGCTCATTTCGCCTCGCGTCATTCGCACCGCGCAATTCGCGTCATTCGCTCCCCGCCATTCGCGCGTATCGCGCCGCAGGATTTCTATTCGCGCGTCTGCATTGACTTAACATGTAAATCACTCGCGCTTGACGCGCGTTCCGCGTCTGGTGTGAACGCAGCATGACACTTCTGTAATTACATTGTGTGCTAAGCCCCACACTAAATGAAAAGTTGTTTTTTTCCAGACTGATCTCATGAGAAAACTTAAGTATTTTACATTTTGTCAGTTTAGTGGCTAATTTGTACGAATTCAAACGAGTTCAGTCGTACGAAAATGTACGTGGGAGGCGTGGCACCCAACCCAACCCCACCCCTAACCATCACTGGGTGATGAGCAAATCGTACTAAATTTTACGAATTAGATTGTACAAATTCATTCGAATTAGCCACTAAATCAAAAAGGTACAAATTGCGGTGAGATTGCACTGTATTTTTCTATGTTCATTTGGCTAGGAACTATACTCTCACTAGCTGCGTTTCCACTATCACGCCTAAAGCGAGCGAGCCAGGGCAAGCTAGGGCCAGTCACGTTTCTACCATCCCTGCCGGAGCCTGACCGGGCCAAAGTGAGGCTTCCTCGGGGCCAGCAGCCGGCGTTTTTCGGCCCGCTGAATACCTTGGGCCAATGAGGGCCAGCTGGGGTTTTGGGGTGGAGTGAAAGAAGAGGCGGCGGACTTTTCCTCAGGAATTGTAATTTGCTAAGTAGTTTTAAAAATGTGTACTTTTACTTCCCCTTGAGAACATTTTTAGTGCTGTATCGGTACTTTTACTACACTAGTTTCCTTCAACCTGCTGTCACTACATTATTTTTTCTTGTCTATGGGGATTAGA